GTTAATTGCATTGTGCAGACTTTAATAGCATTGTCCACTGCCTAACCTAGTACATGTATTATTTAATAGCTAGACTACTCTATAAACTGCCGACAGTGACCCCTCTGAACTATATAAGATCCAGCTCGGACTAGAACAGACAGATTCCGCCAACTCTCCCCCTCGTGGGTAGGCTGGAATTAATCATTCACTTACCATCCGAATTTACTCAGTCAGGACAGAACAATTATACCACTATACGATTACGTGTCCGTGTGACGATTTATTGAACTTTCGAACAAGTTAACTTTAGAGACACTTTGAGAACATTCGAACATTTTAACTTTAGAAATATTTCGACTTTGTAATTATATAATAAATTTTATTCATTGTTCTATTGACTTCGTTATACTGCTAGGAAGCAATGAACTTAAGATTTTTCAGTATAGGACATGCATATTAAATTGCACATTGCTAGAACACAATGGAATATATCCGTACCAATGTTATAATCGTGATATAAATAGACAGGAAATAGGAAAAAAGGTTCAAAAGCATTGCATAACAAATATATCCGGGAAACGTATATATATTTATAAAGGTGCATATCACGTGTGTTTACATCATTGTTATTTTCTGACCTGAAGAATTCTCATAAAACTTATCTGGTGCATCTATCTCCTCTACAGAGTTATCAATTCGTATATTAGCAGTCTGTGCCAAAAAAAAAAAAAAAAACAACCACTTATAAAGTTACTATCTTACTTAACTCCGAGGTTGTATCAACTATGGAATATGTAAAGATGACCTGCTCGTTATTGCCTTATTGAAATATATCACTGAAAAGTACGTTAGTGAGGTCGACACGTTGCTAAATGCTGTATATATACCATATATGACAGAAACGCAACATGAAATTTCATTGAAATGTAACCATTCTTTTAAGAGAAAGAAAAGTATGCAGTTAAATGGTTACGAAATGTTGATTATGGCTACTCAAATGTTCCTAAACCGCATTTTTCTTCACCAGCAGACTGTACTTACTATAGCTATAATATACAGTAAGATTATTAAGTGTACGCACACTCGGCGGAGGAAAGGAGATTTAAACCCAAGATAAATTCCACTTCAAATATATCAGTACACACCGTCTATCCCTATATTGGTACATATAAAGACATTGAGCGCGGACATTTAAGTTGAAATTGTAATAAAAAATATCTATTTCGTTTCATTTCGTTTCGTTTCGTTTCGTTTTGTTTTGTTCCGTTCCGTTTCTATTTCGTTTCGCAGTTTACAGGTACCCGGAGATTCAACCGAATAAACATTAATTCTTCTTGTAAAGATTATCAATTATCCTTGTGAAAACGAAACTAATAGTAAGACATGAAACTAAGGTACCCATCTCCGAAAAGTAACACGAAAAGGTATGCATATGCAAGTTCAAACATATCTATACTATTTGTATCCTCTATAAGTGTTATGATTTTTTTTTTTTAAAGTTATGACACTGAAGATGAATAGTTGTAGGGTGGCACAGGGTAATTTTCCTTTCCATATTCTTACTATATATCTATTCTATTGTCCAAAGGTGGAACAAAATATGTGAGGCATATTCTTTTAATCAGAGACATATATACACATATATGTGTATATATATGTCTCTGTTTTAATATTTCAGTCTCATAACTAATTATTTACATCTTCTCTTAATGATTTGATATGGATGGAGAGGGTTTTCCAAGGATGATGTAGTGTAATTTTTTATTTGAATTTGATTTAATATTTTCCAGAAAAAGGCATTAAAAGTGTTCTTTTTCACAAAAAAAAAGTAACTACAATGTGATTTTATCAGAATGGGGGTTCTTTCTTCACTCCAAGAAATACACTTCATATACTAGTATTCAAATATACAAATACCGGGTACCTTATATTGATAAAAGCAATATAATGGGGAATAAACACAAACAAATTTTATTTGTTTGCTCAGGTAAAGTTTTGAAATTTTACTTATCGTTTAAAGTGAATCAATGATAATTGTAACCTAAATTTTTTGAGTAACTACAGATAATTATTGCATTGATTTTACAAGTAAAACTTGATTAACTTTATTTACACAAATTTTATATTTGTTTTCTTCTTTTGAAAAAAATAAAGATTTTGTTAATTGTTAATTATCAATTTTTTTGTGCATTTACAGAATCATTTTATGTTATGTGTAGATAAAAAATAATAGGTAAATTATTAAATCCATCATTTCTCTATTAATCAAACATGTAACATTACTAGTATAGTGAGGTCAAGAATTGTGTATCGAGATGTGTAATAAGGTTTCTGCTTTATTATGCAAGACTACAGTTAGGTAATTTGGCCAATAGGATTGGCATTTAAGAGAATGGGACACCCAATTATGGCTCCATTTTGTCAGCAGTGCCTGCTTCACTAGTGACACCTGTCATATTATTCCTGTTAAAACCCATTGATCAAAAATCTTAAAGAAAATGAGAAGCTTACATAAGTGCAAAAAAAAAAAAAATTAAAAAAATCCAGAATTCAAAATTGATACTGTTAAGTCTGAAGAGCATTAGTTAAGGAATAAAATAAGCTAAAAATATTGATAGGTTATGGAACTCCTTTTTGAGATATTTGATTTTTAAAAAATGGCGGGAAAAGGCTGACTCACGACTTTTACCTTATATTTAGCATTGGCATTATTTTGGTCTCAAATCGTAAGAAAAAAATCTAGAATTTGCTTAAATTTTGGTAATGACCTTTTTATGAGTTGTTGAAGTAGTCTTTGAAAAGAAAGGTAGGTGATATGAAGCAAAATATTTTACTCTGTATTGTAGGAAAAAAACCCAAAAGTTTGAACCTTTGACAAAAATTCATAAACCTGACCCAAGTACATCCTTAACTGTGAAAAGAGGTTACTAGTAATGTCAGGTGACTCTTGTCAGAAAAACATGTTCACCTTACAACTATTTTATGTACTAAATACAGTTGACCTATCACTAAAATTAAACCAGAAACTGACTTTAATGTGAAAATTAAATTCAAAGTTAGTCATTGAACCATTGCAATGATGTCAAAGTCAACTGTCAAATGCCAAATATGACCCAATCACAAACTTAACAAATCGTGGACGCCTAAAACAGCATTCCTAATTCTTACCTTTGCGACTAGGTCAAGGCAAGACAAAAATGAGAATTTTGGAACTATTTCACTGCATCATAATACCTTAAATTTATCTGCTATACATATTGCCAAGTTACCAAAAGACTGCAAAATATCCAAAACTATTCTCATAGGCAGCATACAGTTTTCCTTCAGTATAAACTATTAAGTAATTAATTAACCAGTAACAGCATATCCTGTGTTTCCATATGGCTGGTATTCCAGGTTTAAACAGTAATATAACCCTTCCACATATTCGTGTGCCTGTGGCCATAGACCACAATTAATTCCTCTATTAGTTCTTTATAATGTTTTGTCGCATTAAAAAAAATTCACCTGCTTTTTTTGTCAAATCTTTTGTGTGTGTAATGTACAGTACAAGTGCAAAAATATATCCAACTTTCAAAAAAATTGCATGTATACATCTTAAAAATTTAGACAATACACATCCATACCCCTATAGACAAGTCAAGCGATGTTCCGAAAACTGTAAATATTACCTTTTTGCACCTGGCCTTTTCACTCTTTCCATATCAAAATCAGTTGAAATAAAACACCCAAAAATTTATTTCAGCTCTCTTCTTTCATTTCCACCCAATAAAAACTAAGAAATGTATGAGGAAGGGAAAGAAAAAAAATAAAGAAAAAATACACTTTAATTAAAGGGAACTATATTCGTGGGGCCCTGTCCTATGTCAGAAACCTCGTCATTGATGTTTAATATCAGAAACCTCGTCAGTGATGTTTAATATCAGAAACCTCGTCAGTGATGTTTAATATCAGAAACCTCGTCAGTGATGTTTAATATCAGAAACCTCGTCAGTGATGTTTAATATCAGAAACCTCGTCAGTGATGTTTAATATCAGAAACCTCGTCAGTGATGTTTAATATCAGAAACCTCGTCAGTGGTTGTTGTATATTATATCTTAATAGAATTTTCTGTTGATAGCAGATCTGTGATAGTTTCTGTTTAAGGTGGTACATAACAATACAGGGAGATAACTCTGTAAAAATCAGCTGAACGTTTTAATCACATTATATTATTAAGGAAATATTAAGCTTTTCAATGATCAAAATAAGTGTTTGTCAAACTGCTCAAGATACAATGAAATTTTTACAATAAAGTGTGTAGTTCAAGTTTTTGAAATTTTTATCTTTTTGTTAAAGGGTCAAAGTAAATTTTTTGTCAAAATGTTACGAAAATTAAACGAGCCAAAATAATTTGAGTCAAGGTGTTTGGTACCACCTTAAATTCAAAACTTTATAGACTCTGGATTATTTAGAACTTGACATATTGTATCTATATTGACATCTGTATATTGCTGAAGACTGCATGTTGCTCTCTTGATGTCTTCTGGTTATTTTTGTCAATGGGTAGTCGTCTCATTGAGGTATACCCCACATCTCCATTTAATCATATAAAATGAAATAACAAAAATATGCAAACAGCATTAAACATCAACAATTTAAAATGATTCCTCCAACCAAGAAGACAGACAAATACAAACAATGCTGAAGAACATAAATACTTGATAGGTATTAGGTATTTGGCTCAGAAAGACTGAGTTTACCAAGCCTACCTTAAATAAACTGTTGACACAGAACTATGTCTCACTTTTCGTAACTTTGATAGCAAATAATCTCCATGGAAATGAGATGTGCAAATGCTAAAAACTGCACAACAAATATCATGAACCTACCACTAGTGCTTCCCCATAAACTGACCTAATCACAAAGTATTGCATTGTTGATGCCGCTGCTGACGCCAGAAACATCAAGCCTAAGTCTCGTTTTTTTCAATTTGAATCAAGACAAAAAGGTATTATTCAGTAAAAGATCAACATCATTCAGCTACTAACAGATTTTTATTATAAAAAAAAATATTTTTCACATAATATTAAGAAAATTAATCACCTTCAAATGCTACCTGGCTTTCTGTTTGCACATAAATAGGCCCTTGCAAAAAATAAGCCTTTAATTGGACAATATAGGGCTGACCAAAAATGTTCATTGAGGTTGGACTCTCTGCTAATGTTCTAATTATTTCATATTTGGACTCTTTTGCTTCTTTGTCCTTTTCTGTTGATCGATCAAGTAGATATTCATTAAAACCTGGAAATTCACATAATCTTTTCTGTCCCCATGGTATCAAAGCTAGTGCTGACAGAACACTGTGAGAACTGTGTCTAAGTTCTGGAAATGGTTGCCTAGCGATAGACATGATGATCTGAAGCATGTTGGGATCCAGATGATCAAACCATTTCTCTGACAGCTTACAGTTGTCAGATGTTTGTTCTGGTACCTGTAATCAAAATAAAAAAAAATATGGATACTTGAATCACCAGGTTTGTACTTAAATGAGCAACATGACAGGTGCCACATGTGGAGCAGGATCTGCTTACTCTTCAGGATTACCTGAGCTCACCCTTGTTTTTGGTGGTTAGTGTTGCTTAGTTCTTGGTTTTCTTTGTTGTGTTATGTAAACTGTTGTTTGTCTTTTGATTGTTTATTTTTATTTTTTGCCATGTCGTTGTCTGTTTGTTTTTTGCCATGGCGTTGTCTGTTTGTTTTTTGCCATGTCGTTGTCTGTTTGTTTTCTGCCATGGCGTTGTCTGTTTGTTTTTTGCCATGGCATTGTCAGTTTGTTTTTTGCCATGGCATTGTCAGTTTGTTTTTTGCCATGGCATTGTCAGTTTGTTTTCTGCCATGGCATTGTCAGTTTGTTTTCTGCCATGGCATTGTCAGTTTGTTTTCTGCCATGGCATTGTCAGTTTGTTTTTTGCCATGGCGTTGTCTGTTTGTTTTTTGCCATGGCATTGTCAGTTTGTTTTTAGACTAATGAGTTTGAATGTCCCTTTAGTATATTTTGCCTCTCTTTTGAAGTGAATGAACTTAACACTCTGAATCTGTACTTAAAAAGAAACATACACTAATTGGATGTACTAGGCAGAGTTCAAAATTAATACCTCCTCAACTACCCCATATAAATTAAACCTTCACTGGTATAAAAGAAACTCTTCGAAAAATTAAGGTGTACAATGGAATTAAATAAATACTGATGATGTGTTACCTAAAATAAATTGAAATGAAATAGAAATGTAGAAATAAATTTACTGATATTTACAGATTCAATAAGATATTTAGAAATCATGTTATTTATTAAAGAAGCAAATGTAGACAGGGATGTGGGGAAAAAACCGGATAAATGCAACAGGATAAATACATTATTTATAAAAACACACATTCACAAATTGAATTTAACCTTAACATTATTTACTTGCTATTTCAGCCTGTAAGATGTCATTAGCGGAAATTGTGCATTTTCCTTTCAATTTTTGGCTACACAGAACAGGCGTCTATTATCCTCACTTTAAACTTGTGTAGAAAATTAAAAAAAAACAATTATGACTAGCAGTCAGCTTGTATTTCCTTTTAAATTTGATCCCTGTCACTTTTTCATTTCATTAAAACATATTTGCATTTAAAGTAAACAGACATTTAAATTCAAATTGATTAATATAAAAAAAAAAACATCTCTAAAGAAGATTATACTAAAAAATGTTTAAAAATTTTGTTAAAAGTATAAAGGTCACCCTACTTAGTTTAGTTTCCTAAATGCCATATTTCTATAGATTACAATAGAATTTTTCTTTCAGGCATAAAATAAAACTTGTAGATGATTTTGACATGCATGATGAGAATCTTAAGATCAAATTTCTCTCAAGAAACAAAAAGGAAAACAGAGATATGTTGGTGTTTTCTTAATGTTTCACAAAACAACTTCAAATGGATAAATATGTAGTAATATACAATGTGATTATCTCGCCCTTTTGTATTTGATTACCTCCCCCCATTTGTAGTCTGTAATTCATGAACTAAACAATAACTAGATATTCTCTAATATTCTCACGTCAGGTTATTTCATAAGTACAATAATTCAGATAACAGCATTTTCAAATTTAAGTTTTAATTTCAGTTAAACAGTATTAACCTCTTAAATAAATTAAGCGTTACTTCCAGTGGTAAGGGATTTGCAGCAATTAACAATTGCATCAGGGTTTTTTCTATGCCACAATTTTCAGATGACATAGGCGGATCCAGGAGGGGGGGGGGCCCTGGCCCCCCTTTTGTGGGAAAAATTTGGTTGATTATATAGGGAATCACTGAAGCATGACTGGAGCGGGCCCCCCTTAGGTCAGTCAGTGGGCGTCCCTTATGAAAAGTTCTGGATCCGCCACTGGATGAATATCGATCATATTCACACTGCAAAAAGGTTATTTCGCCAAATTGAAACCTAAATTGTCGACAGCAGATCTACTTCATTCAATCATCAGTAAAAGCATTACAAATTTCATTAAAATTATCCTTCAAGTTTGATTCCTTTGATTATTTATTAACTATTTACATTTTTTCTATAATGAAAGGTTTCATTTTATTTACATGATTTATATCATATCTTGTTATGTCAGCCATTAGTTGATCATGCAATTTCAATTTGACACAATTCTTAAGTGATTTCATGGCCAGATACTCCTTTTTTCTCCTTTGTTTTAGTATATACACATTGAGATACTTCTTTTGAGTGATTTTTAGCCTTCATACTTACCGGAATATGAATCAGATTTGCAGTAGTTTGAAGAGCAATTTCCCGTAGATCTGATGGTGCTTGTTTCACCATCTTTCCTATTGTCTGTAACCCATCAATAAACATATTTCCTGTAACATACAATACAATAATTATTACCTATTACCTGTAACATACAATTCAATAATTATTACATATTTTCTGTGATGTATAATACAGTAAATAATTATTTTATATCATCTTTTAAATGCCACATAACTGTATGATTTGGTAATGTGGAATTTTGTTTGAATATTCGAAATATGCAGGATTTTCTACCCAAGGAATAGATTACCTTAGCTGTATTTTGCAAAACATTTCAGAATTTGGGTCCTCAATGCTCTTCAACTTTGTGCTTTATTTGGCCCTTTTATTTTTATTGATTAAAGCATCACTGATGAGTCTTTGTAGACAAAACGTGTGTCTGGCGTACACAATTTTAAACCTGTTACTTATGGCATTGATATTAACATATAATAATCCGACATAAAAGAAGTAAGTTTTACAAGCCTATCAACCTAATAAAAAATATAATAAACTCAAAATTTAATTCAATATTATGTGTTAGGGCTTCTTTTGAATCATATACTATTATTCCTTGTGAAACATGTACAATGTCAATAAATTTTCTCCTTCCTTGTTAAAAATCTTAACTGCCTTTTAAATCATGCTGTAAGGTTTTAGCTCATTATTACATTTTTGAAGACCTTTCAGCAACTGACAAGATGAAGATCAGCAATAAAAACAAGTGAAACTGCGAGCTACTGCTCACTGATGATACCCCCGCCCAAATATGGATAATTTTAATAGTGTAAAAATATGTAAGTGTTCGTTGAACAGGAAGTTATTGCGTGATGAATCTGAAAACGCATCACAAAGTATTGCTCACTCATATAAACCTTGAAACCGAATTTCAGAAATCCTTGTAATGTAGTACCTGAGAAAAATGCGAGGAAAAATATTCATGGGATGGACGGACAGACAGAGGTAAAAAATAATACCCCCACTTTTTTAAAACGGGGGTATAATCAGTTCCTTTGATATATTAGTAATTTCCTATAATATTCGTATACTGTTAATGCAGAATTTTTTCAAGCATTTATTACTGCAATTGTTAAACAATGTACAGTAAAGAGCTGCGCCATAAGCGCATGATATGCCTGTCGCTTTTTCAAAGAACAAAGTTCCATAACTCCTCAATGTCATATCAGAAATTTATAAAAAAAGTAAAGGGAGGTTATTTCAATAGATATAAACCAGTCACCAAAGTTTCATGAAAACTGCTCAAAGCACTTTTGAGTTATTGTCCGAAAAACTAGAAAATCCCCCTTTTTTAATGAGTAAAACCCCATAACTCGGAAACGTAAAATCTAAAATTCATAAAAATCGAAAGGGAGCACACATCAATAGATATAAACAAAAAGTTTCTTGCAAATTGGAGAAAGTGTTTTTGAGTTATTGTCCAAAAACTGGAAAATCCCCCTTTTTTAATGAATAAAACCCCATAACTTGGAAACATAAAATCTAAAATTTAAAAAATCGAAAGGGAGCCCACGTCAATAGGTAAAAACAATTCACAAAAGTTTCATGCAAATTGATTAAAGTGTTTTTGAGTTATTGTCAGACATTTTGACGATGGACAACGGTATACCATAATACGTCCCGTAAACGGGCGTATAAAAAAATGACAGATAAATGATTGCTATTTCAGAAATTCTACACATAAATAATATTATCTAAAATTTTAAATGCCAGTTTTTGGTTTTTTTTTAGTCGTAAAAAATGGTGTGTTGATACTGTTAATATTTACCTAACTTCTCAAGAGCTAGTTTTCCCTCTATTGTTTTAGCTATCAGTCCAATAGTCTGTACAGAAATACTGCATAAATTTTTATCTTCTGAAGTCAAGTTTCTTAACATCAGGTTAACGAATGTCTTGTTTCCATTAAACACTTCCTTGGGATAAAAATAGGCAACACCTCCAAAAAACTTAATTAAACCTGAAATTAATCAACATATAAATTTAATTACATCAAAATGTATGATAGCTATAATTTAATGGCTACATTTCTCTAAATTTTCAACAGCTTGTTTTCAATACTTCATTTTTATGTAGTTATCTTATGATCTTCATATCCTGAATATGCATGAAACATTTTCTGCTGGACTTTAACAAGTTTACAACAATCATTAATCTTGATATTAATGTTCCCCCCTCCAACTATTATTGATTGAATTCATCAATTGTTTCATAAATGTTCAATTCTTCTTATATTTAAAGTTAATATGAATTAAAATAACATCCAAAAAGAAAAATAATCAATGATTTTCATTTAAAATATAGGATTGATATTATTTTGATTGATAGTCCTTTTTTTTTTTAACCATGTATCAATAGTGGAATGAGACGCAAATGGTTACTTGTTTTCATTTGATACAAAAGTTTGTAACATCAACACATGGTGTATGCTTTAACCAATAGAAAATCACATATATAAAATGTGGACCTACTGTAAATGTGTATTTATGTATCATATAAAATTATATGCCTGATAAGTCATACATGTCATATCAACGTTATTTAATTTCTCTGGCATTACCAAAATTTTCATTAAGCAAAAAGTTTCTGAAGAACAAACAGAATTTTTCAACCAAAGCAAGATGTTTTGTGAAAAAAGATATTGTTTGCATACCTGGTAATAAGAGTCCTCCCATTGGATCTGTAGAAGATGTTGACAGTAGGGTCTCTATCTGCTTAATGATTCCTGCTCCGTCTAGAAAAACGATCCCATGCTCCACCATACCAAGGTCAGAAAGTAGTTCCAAACAATTTAACTGAGTAAGAATATCATCTTTATGGACCTCATTTAACAGCAGCTGTAGTAATCCTGACTCATTTGTCTTTTGCAGAGCTGATTCAGATATTTTACTGATATGAACTATCAACTATAATAAAAGCATGAGGCTATGATTTGGTTTCTATGTCAAGTGTGTATGTACAAATGAGTATAAAGGAGCATTTTCATCTATTAAAAAATATGTAGATCATCGTTTTACCTGTATTCTTTTCTTAATGGGCTTAAACATATATTTGTGCATTTTTTTAGGTTAACATTCTTGTAAAATTAATATTTTACCTTAGAGACCAAGTAGAGAAAAATTATTATCATCCAATTAGAAACAATAGCAGATGCACACCTTTTTATTCCTTTATAAATATAGTGTAAAATGAACTAATTGAACATTAACATTGCAATCATTCAAACCAGAATAAATAGGTGATTATAGACAATAAGATCTTCATTCACAAATGCCCAGAAACTATTTGCTTAGGTGAAAAGTTTGTTTAAGTTTTTTCCTGCTTATCAATGATTCAATGCTCCAAGTTTTGGTATTTAAACTTAAACATTTTCATCAGAATTTCCAAAATATATTTACAGTGAAAAATGACTAAAATATTTTTAACTCAACATGTGAATATTCTTTCAGGATTTATATTTGCAAACCAAACCAAAGATATTCTGTTGAACAATGTTGAAACCGGTTCAACTGTACAATTTTCATATGCAGAGTAAAACAGTACCTCATAAACTCTGAATTTGACAGTATCATCTTTCTGAAGGACTTCTTGTAGAGAGGATAACAATTCTGATGTGTAGATAAAATCCAGACCATCATTTGTTCTGCCTACAAAAACAAACAAAGGAAGTATTATGTAAAACATTCCTATGCCATAATATATGTGGATATATCAAAAGTTAATCCTTGAAATTAGAAATGAGAATGTGTATTGGATGTAAGAAAAATAAAATGCTCCGCAGGGCGCAGCTTGATACGACTGCAGAGGTTAAACCCTGAACAGTTGGGGCAAGTATGGACACAACATTCAAGCTTGATACAGCTCTGAATTTGGATTGTGATTAAATATTTGACACAGAATGAATGTGGTCTAAGAACTTAAAAATTTTAAATTGGACATTCACCTATTATAGTCCAATATCCAAAATCTAAATACATGGTTAGATTCAGCATATCAAAGAACCCCAAGAATTCAATTTTTGATGAAATCAAACAAAGTTTAATTTTGGACCCTTTTGACCTTAATGTGGACAAAGTTGATTAAGGGGCCCAAAAATCAAAAATCTAAATACATGGTTAGATTCAGCATATCAAAGAACCCCATATATTCAATTTTTGTTGAAATCAAACAAAGTTTAATTTTGGACCCCGATTTGGACCAACTTGAAAACTGGGCCCATAATCAAAAATCTAAATACATGTTTAGATTCGGCATATCAAAGAACCCTAAGAATTCAATTTTTGTTAAAATCAAACTAAGTTTAATTTTGGACCCTTTGGACCTTAATGTAGACCAATTTGAAAACGGAACCAAAAATTAAGAATCTAAATACACGGTTAGATTCGGCATATCAAAGAACCCCAAGAATTCAATTTTAGATGAAATCAAACAAAGTTTAATTTTGGACCCTTTGGACCTCAATGTGGACCAATTTAAAAACTGGGCCCAAAATCCAAAAACTTAATACACGGTTAGATTCAGCATATTAAAGAACCCCAAGAATTCAAGAATAAAACCCCATTGAAATTGGTCAAGAAATAAGCAATTTATAGGAAGTATCTTCTTTTGCACAATACTGTGCAATTGAATATTTCTTGCCATTGCGCAATTTAAATAATAACTACAATTGACAATTTCTTGCTATTGCGCAATATTGTGCTATTGGATATTTCTTGCTATTGCGCAATACTGTGCAATTGAAGATTTCTTGCTATTGCGCAATACTGTGCAATTGAAGATTTCTTGCTATTGTACAATACTGTGCAATTGAAAATTTCTTGCTATTGCACAATACTTATAATATAATAATTTACACATCCTGTTTGTTGTGTATCTCCTACCATATCATCATTATTTGCTTTTAAATATAAATCAGAAATAACCAACTTAAAATGGAAAATTTTACAAGAAAGAAAAAAGGAAAAAAAAAAAATCCCCCCCCCCAAATTTTTTGAACCCCCTTATGATTCATCACTCCCAAACTCAATCCTAGCCTTCCCTTTGTGGTATGGTACCTTGCAGTACAATTTCAGAGAGATCCATACATTTGAACACAAGTTATTGTCTGGAAACTAGAAAAATATGTTTTCTGTCCCCTTTTTGTCCCCAAATTCCTAAACGTTTAGGGCAATTACCCCCAAACTCAATTCCAGCTTTCCCTTTGTGATATGGAACCTTGTAGTACAATTTCAGAAAGATCCATACACTTACACACAAGTTATTGTCCTGAAACTACAAAAATGCTTATTTTTTTCCCCTTTTTGGCCCCTAATTCCTAAAATATTGAGGCAATTACCCCCATCATCAATCCCAGCCTTCCCTTTGTGGTATGGTACCTTGCAGTACAATTTCAGAGAGATCCATACACTTGAACACAAGTTATTGACTGGAAACTAGAAAAATGCTTATTTTTGGCCCCTTTTTGGCCCCAATTCTTAAACGTTTTCGGGCAATTACCCCCAAACTCAATTCCAGCTTTCCCTTTATGATATGGAACCTTGTAGTACAATTTCAGAAATATCCAAACACTTACACACAAGTTATTGTCATGAAACTAGAAAAATGCTTGTTTTTTGGCCCTTTTTTGGCCCCTAATTCCTAATATTTTGAGGCAATTACCCCAAAATCAATTCCAGCCTTTCCTTTGTGATATGGAACCTTGTGGTACAATGTCAGAGAGACCCATACACTTACACACAAGTTATTGTCTGGAAACTAGAAAAATGCTTATTTTTGGCCCCTTATTCCTAAACGTTTTGGGCAATTACCCCCAAACTCAATTCCAGCTTTCCCTTTGTGATATGGAACCTTGTAGTACAATTTCAGAAAGATCCATACACTTACACACAAGTTATTGTCATGAAACTAGAAAAATGCTTGTTTTTTGCCCCTTTTTTGGCCCCTAATTCCTAATATTTTGAGGCAATTACCCCCAAAATCAATCCAATCATTCCCTGTGTGATATGGAACCTTGTGGTACAATGTCAGAGAGATCCATACACTAACACACAAGTTATGTCTGGAAGTTACAAAAATGATTATTTTTGGCCCCTAATTCCTTAACTGTTGGTACCATAACCCCCAAAATCAATCCCAACCTTCCTTTTGTGGTATTGAACCTTATGGTAAAATTTCATAGAGATCCATTCACTTCAACTAAAGTTAGAGTGCGAAAACCAATGTGTCTTCGGACGACGCCGACGACGTCATACCAATATACGACCGCAAAATTATAATCAAAGCGTGAAAGCGCTGTAAAGGCAGTTAATTACAGGTTGTGTGTATTTTTAGTCCAGTTATATCATTATCTTGCATAGTACATTGTACTTATCAGAGGTGGCTTTCAGTATTTAAGATTTAGAGTTCTCTAATGATATTGAACAAGTTTTATGAATGTCATATTCTGAGCACTATATGAAGGCGATTGTTCTCACTTGTTTATGAACTAGTGCATTATGTCCAGTTTGTACCTTTTTTATCTATGTTTATAGTCAAATACTGTTTAAAATAGTTTGGCATTTTCTTTTTAGTAATAAGTAAATGTTATCAACTGTATTTTATTCAACTTTGCAAATGTGGTTTGTTACTGGTAAGTACAATGTATGGATGATAGTTGTTTCATTGACAATCATAACACATCTCCTTATTTATATAAAATGATCTATATTCAACGACCTCAGGTACAAAAAAAATGTATGTAACTAAACTATGATTGGAAACCCTTGACTTCTTTCTTTTATATAAACTTTTGATTTGGTACCATAGAACTATGTAGAATAAATGTACATTGCAACATGTCAACTCTTTCAATGACAATACTTTTTTTAGAAACTATAACTCCAAGCAAAATTATATTTCCAAGTATAAAGTAATTTATGAATGAAACAAGAGTGCACACGCTGAAATGTCTCGCCTTCTTTACTAATCATTGATATTATGTTGATAGTCCTAAATATAAAGCTTTATTACAACTGTCACATAAACTTAACATTAACCAAGTAAACTAAACATTGACCAATGAACCATGAAAATGAGGTCAAGGTCAGATGAACCATGCTAGGCAGGCATGTACAGCTAACAATTCTTCCATACAACAAATATAGTTGACCTATTGCTTATAGTTTAAGAAAAACAGACCAAAACACATAAACTTAACACTGAGCAATGAACCTTGAAAATGAGGTCAAGGTAAAAAAAAACCTACGTGACTGACAAATAGATCATAAAATATTTCCATACACCAAATATAGTTGAACTATTGCATATAGTATTAGAAAAAAAGACCAAAACTCAAAAACTTAACTTTGACCACTGAACCATGAAAATGAGGTCAAGGTCAGATGACACCTGCCAGCTAGACATGTACACCTTACAATCATTCCATACACCAAATATAGTAGACCTATTGCATACAGTATAAGAAAAACAGACCAAAACACAAAAACTTAACTATAACCACTGAACCATGAAAATGAGGTCAAGGTCAGATAACACCTGCCAGTTGGACAGTCCTTCAATAAACCGAATATACTAGACCTATTGCTTATAGTATCTGAGATATGGACTTGACCACCAAAACTTAAACTTGTTCACTGATCCATGAAATGAGGTCTAGGTCAAGTGAAAACTGTCTGACAGGCATGAGGACCTTGCAAGGTACGCACATACCAAATATAGTTATCCTATTACTTATAATAAGAGAGAATTTAACATTACAAAAAATCTTAACTTTTTTTTCAAGTAGTCACTGAACCATGAAAATGAGGTCAAGGACATTGGACATGTGACTGACAGAAACTTCGTAACATGAGGCATCCATATACAAAGTATGAAGCATCCAGACCTTCCACCTTCTAAAATATAAAGCTTTTAAGGAGTTAGCTAACGCCGCCGCCGGATCACTATCCCTATGTCGAGCTTTCTGCGACAAAAGTCGCAGGCTCGACAAAAAGGAGTTCTTAATTAAGAAATAAACTGATTCGCTGAGCGCAGCTGGATACACCTGCAGAGGTCCAACCCTGAACAGTTGGGGCAAAAATGGACACAATATTCAAGCTTGATACAGGTCTGAATTTGGATTGTAATTAAATATTTGACATATTATAGTTTCTGAATAAATGTAGTCAAAGAACTTGAAATCGGTTATATGAATTGAATTTATATTCAATTAAAGATTTCTTGCTGTTGTGCAATACACTGTGCTGTTGCGCAATACTTAATAAATCTGTTGCCAGACTATAAACAAATAAAGTTCAATTTCTTCTCAATGTCATATTTGAAATTTATAAAAATCAATAGGGAGATTACATCAATAGCTATAAATAATTCACCAAAGTTTCATGCGAACTGCTTAAAGCATTTTTGAGTTGTTGTCCAAAAACTGGAAAACCCCCCCTTTTTTAATGAATAAAACCCCATAACTCAGAAATGTAAAATCTAAAATTTATAAAATTCTAAAGGGAGCTTACGGATTGATAATTTAGTCTTAGATGCAAGATTTTTTATCAGTTGTTCTTCTTTTTTATATTTACATCAACAGATATAAACAATTCACCAAAGTCAAACTTAGTTGTAAGATCTCTGAAATTTTTTACACGGTACAAGTTTTTCTAATTGTTCATGTTGTTGGAGATTGTACGGTGACAGTAACACCTGTAACTGCTTAACCCATTTCTTATGCACTTTGGTTCGATAAACTCACTGAATATCATACCACATCTCCTTATTTTTATATGCATTACAATTTACATGTGCATGTAATTGTAAATAATATTTACATGTATATATATATATCAGAACAAACTTCATTGCATCACTTTTATTTATGCATCCTTTGGCACAATACAAGTTCTGAAATTACACAACATAAAACAACTAAATGTTATTTCAGATGAAAGTTTTGTTTCAGTTCCATTCATAGGATTTATTAGAATTTTGTATGTTTTGCCAAGTTCAATAATTAGCTCTATGTGCACGTGTTAATTGGAGACTTTTCTATCCCGTATAAGAGTTTTGGAACTAATTCTGTTTCTTTTTTTGAAAAAAAGTGAGCAAACAAATCTTGCACATTTAAACCTTTGTCTGCCATCACACTGTCACCTGGATCACATAATTGAACTATTCTACATCTTTCAACTATTTCACAGTCACTGGTACAACCAACATATGCATTAGAGACATAGTTGACTAAACCACCAGGTGTCGAACATACAAGTATTTTCAGTGTTTCTGTTTTTATATGATGAAAAGGTTGCCTGAGCTCTAGGAGCTTTAGGTTTTATCACAGGATATTCTGTGCTGTCAATAATAATCCAAGTTGTAGGAAACTTTAATTTGAAGTTGGATGGCGAAAAATACCTGACTAAACCACTTAATGGCCAAGTGTTAGCCTCACGCCACTGTTTAGACATAAAAACAATCCATGTTTACACAATATTCTTAACACTAGTTTCAATCTAGAATCTAGACAGTTCAAAGTTGGTTGTATAATGCCTCAATTTCATCAAAGTCATAAAAAAACTGATTTTCAAATGACACCCTATCAATTTGAAAATATATGTATCTCAAACAATGTGCTGCTGGACCAAGTGTGGTGAAAACAAATAAAAATTTAGTATACAACTCTAAACCGGTATAAAAATGCATGGCTGTGTCACGTGTCTTCATTTCGAAATTCTCTTCTGAAAATATAGGCATTGATGGTGTTTGCATAATTCCATTTGTGAAGCTCAACATTAGCTCGGCAGTTGGTGGTGGACAGTCATAAATCCTGTCTGCAGTATGAATGACTTCTTCAGGAAAACCAACTTTATAATCAAAACTTTCCTCTAGATTTCTACTACAATATTCATCAAGTTTAGTTCTTTTGTTTTCACAGGAAACTGCCCTGATTTTTCTTTTTGCGGACGATTCAGTCTCTTGCTTGGTCCAGGAAAATAGGCTGGGAATGGCAGTAGACTTAAGTCTCTGTATGGTGGGTTTGCGCCCTGAAAAAGGTTATAATACATTAGTTTTTTGATAATTAAATGAACTTCCATTAGCAATGCATACTTTGTACTACCTGGCAAAATATTAACTAGATTTATTCATTACAATCTGGATAAAACTATGTTAGCCTGAATCAATGTACATCAAAATGTATGTTATGTAAATCCAAAGGACAAACAATGAGTGACGTATGCAACAAACATACATTGTTTGTACCTAAATAACTATAATATAGATGAGAGCATGTCATTGTTTTGTTCCTGTTAACATTGTCATTGATATTTTTCAAGAAAGTCTATGAGGCATAGCTTATGCATTCCTGTCATTACTACATTAGCATAATTACTGCTAAAATAATTCTCAGTATGATTTACTTCTTGTAAGAAATCATTATAATTGTAGCAAGCACCAAAAAATCTCAAACAGATCACATTGAATCGTAATCCAAAAAATTATGAAGTCTTGAATTAACCACTCCCTTTTATTCTAAAACGATAATTGCGGTTGTAAACAGACTTTGGTTTATTCGCATGGCGATTACATATATAACTATATATTTTAAAAAGAAAATAGAGTTTTACCATGAATAGTTTCATGCACGTAGTCTTTTTCAGTAAAATCTGCCTTGCAAACAACAGCTGATTGAGATGGACTCCACGATTTCATCGTGTTCTCGTCCAATCTGCGTATGGGCCATGGCGTTGATCCAACTTTTCCTTCTTTTTTAAGTCATTTGGAAATGCATGTCCTCCTCTTGACATCCAGGTACACAACAACAAGTACTTGGCATCGTTAATTAAAAATGCAACTGTAATAGTTGCACAGTGCAGAAACCGGAAGTTGAAGAACAGGATCGGCTACCACGGCGCCACCTATTCAGGAACGATAATTTGCTACTTTATATAACTGCGAAATAACAAAAACGTAGACGGGTTCGCGTGCATAAACAGAAATGCGCTTTAAATTGTATAATATAATTCATGTTCAGTCGACCTTTAATTATTATATCAACGACTGAAATGATTTATAAACATCTAGTTTGCAGATAACACTCAAATTAACCCGACCTCTTTCAACACGGATTTCAAATAATTCTAGTTTGTCAATCGGTTGACTGCTTATAATGTAAAATACAAATATATCAAAAGTTTTTAAAACTAACAAAACACAATGATCGTTTCTCTATTTCCCAATGTAAATGAAATGAAACAAAAAACATTTTATATCACAATAAGAAGAGGAGAGAATCATCATTTTCCAGATCTACTTGGAGCCTAATGACCCCCCACGTAGATAAGTTGGATATCGCGGAAAGAAAGATTAACACGGCAACTAGAAAGGCATTAAAGCACTGCCTTTAAAAACGGAATAGATACAGTAACAATAGAGAAATCAATGGGACCTATTCTGACATTCAACATACCTCACCATAATAAATTTATACTAAAACTTAAATTTGATGTCCACAACACTTTTCTAGAATAACATTTTTATAGTTATACCCAATAGCAAAAGTTTAAATGAGATTTTACTGCCTCAACATCCTCAATTTTGGAGCAGTAGTATTCCAAGGTGCCAGTGAATATGTGTGGAGGATCTATATAATAATACAATTTTTCTACCAACAGAAATTTTAAATATACACAGATGTCAACTGTCCAGATTATGAGATATCAGTGGGTGCCTCCAATTAAAAGCTTGGGAACCTGATCTGGAAGAGCAGTCTCCTAACAAGGAGGTGAAATCTCCCACCTTAAAGCATAAATCTTCTACTTTATCCATCAATGAATATTGCATTAAAAGCATAATAAGCAGTTGTTTGTTTTATTAAAATTTACAAATTGTCAAAACAGTGTCTGTTTACATAATATAGAGGGCTGAAGCTAATCCACGTTGTATTTTCTGGTTAAGGCATTCAATTTTCATGATTGGATTCATTTGGCTGTTTTTACCCAAAGTTTCTAAATATTAATTAATAACTGCATAAACTATATGATTACGGCAATTACAAACATAATGAACAGATGAAACTAGATGTTTTGGTACGTTCTGCAGCTAAATGGTTAAATGTACATTTTTGAGAAAGGTGACGTGAACCAGGGATCATAAACCCAACAACACTGTTCATTATACATAATTAAGAAATAATTCAAGCCCAAATGATAATATATCTGTTAAATGGAAAAAGTCTGTCAATGGAACTACAGTTATTGATCAAAAATCAAATAAAATTCAAACTTAAATTCTGTGAATGTTAGTCAAAGGAACAAAATATAAACTCATTATAGAAGTCACTAATGTACCGAAATCAGCCCCAGATTGTCAGCATTCCAAATAAAGATATCTTAGGATTTTAAATACACATACATTTTGTATAGCAACCACTGTAAGCTTCCATGTAACATAATTAAGGATGCACACTATAGAGATATTGGTGTGATCTTTAATTTTCTATGAGGAAAACATACTTATATTTAGCACAACATTCTGTGCATGTTTTGCCACCTGTAGGGAAGGGCTAGCTATCAAATTTATCACAGTTTTGATGACATCTCTCGCTGAATCCCAATTCAGTAGTGTTTGGTCATCTCCACCAACGAGTTCTAGCTAAAAATAGATTTAAAAATGATATTGATTAAAATACATTCACAAGCATTTGCCTGATCTATAGCCTTAGGGCTTATGTAAGGTAATTACTGACTTAGACTACTGTCGATAGTACAACATAAGGATAAATAAATTTTCTTTCTAAGTGGGCTATAATACATTACTGGAGGGAGCTTCTCCAGTTCTGAAACATGTTGGTGAAGAATGGTATGGTAATATGTTTGGAAACTTTATTGACATAATTTTCATGTACATGATAAAATGTCTTATGAAAAGAAAAGCAAAAAGCTACTGTTGTATTCCTGAAAGCCTTAGACACTCTAACATGTCTAAAGTCTTCTCACTTAGCTTCAATCATATGGCCCCTTCATCCAACATGTACATTGTATTACGTACATGGGGGACATATACTTGCCTCCCAATGCTGCTGAACTTATATTTGCTTGAAAGCAACAAAAACACATCTATTTCCATGGCACATTTATTCAGAAGAGACAGATTACATCACATGACAAATATGCATCATCATAGAAGGGACACAACTCTCACGACTTTACTATAAAATCACATACGACAATACATATACATAACACATGAGTGGACATACTCATAATCTGTATAAGTAATTCTTACATACATGACATACACATGTATGTTTTCGTCTTACTAAACATACGGAGATGTTACCTGTCTTAAACATAAACACTGTATAGTTGTAGAAGAGTGCTGTAATCCTATATCAAAATCGGTTTTGAACAGGTCCAATCCAACAGCAGGTGACCATGCAAGCAAAACATTTTTTAAAATACTGCAACATTCTTCAATGATTTCACTGAAAGAATAGACAACAATCTCTCATTAAAGCTGACAATAAAATGGATTATGGGGCTTGTAACTTCTATGTATTTTCAATTAATGATTATCTTTTCAAAAGTTGTTGCATTTTCCATTAATATTAGCCATTTCAAGAATAAAATATCAACATGAAAAGTCATGATCAATAATATATTAACTTTTTTTACTGAAGAAAACAAATTTCTTATTTGAGAAACTAATGTCTATTATGGATTGATATTCGACTTTCCCACTGATAGAAACAAGTGCCTGTGGAGATCGAGCTATATAATTACTAGCCTAATCAGTAAACTGTAGATTCTGTAAAGTACATGTACATGACTTGCAAAATAATTTGAAGTAAAACATGAGGTACAAACCCATTATCAGTGTTTAACAAGCCAAACAACTTCTGTACAGATGAAACTGAGACTACAGTATGAAGGTTTATTGTTCTGACAGATGATAAAGCTGCTTTCAACTCAACCAATGTTGATAAAACATCTGTTGTCGTTTCCAGAGACTGACAAATGTCGTCTACATTTGCCGCCATTTTCTGCGATGAAAAGTCTAGAGAGTGTCGAATGGCAAAATACATTTCTCGGAAATCTCGGACATTTTTATTACAATTACATTGATCAGATCAATCAGCATCAGCAGCCGATTCAGATCAATAAACAGATAAGAGAGTTCTAGTAATACGCCATTTTTGATGTGAAACAGAAAATTAAAGATGGAAGGGTGTAAATATTTAATGAAGAAGCAATTACAAAATGCCTAAGCGTAAAAATCTGTCTGGTGATGATGGTGATCAATCGATTCCATTGCCTATCCAGGCATTTTTCTGGCGTCAAACCAGGTGGGCTCATTAAATTTAATTATTAATCCACAAATCTTGAATTAATGAATGTTTCTTTTCTAAACCTAATAGTTTTCTTAAATCAATTAAGAAATTTTGGTGCATGAATTGCAAATTTGCATTGATTGAAAGGCCAAGGGGATGCACACTGTAATTTGTAAATTAATTTGTAAACACACAAAGAGTTTTCTTACTATACAAATCCTTGTTCAAACTCATTCATTTAAAATGCAACACTTTAAATTCAAATCTTGTATCCATTATGCAGGCTTTTAAGTCTTTTTGCATTATTTGTTATGTTTGAATAATACGTCATTTCTGGAATCATGTCTTTCACCGGAAAAGATCGTCAATTTCGCACGCCTTTATGACGTCATTTACCAGATGGAAAGCGCACCTGTATCCCTGCTCTATTAAAAGTTGCCAGTACTTTCATAATCGTCATTCTGTAGGGTAGTATGGAAATAATTTATGTTCCGTAAGTACGTAATCTTGATTCCCGTACGACTGAGGGAGGGTGATCATCTTATTAGATTTTAATTTCCCAAATATTTTGTGCGGAATAAAATCAAATTTTTCACCCGTTTGCTCAACATGTGTTGGAAGTGACGATGCCTACATTTTTGTCACATGGTGATGGAAGTCACATGACAGATTCAACTAAAAACTGTAGCGTATCCCGGAACTGCCGTATTATAAGGAAACATATTTATCAATGATACAAAACCCACCAAAAATTATAACCCAATCCAAAGGCAAAGGAATTTTATTAAAGAGGGTGGTAAAGGGGGGGAGGGGGGGGGGGTAGTCTGATGATAACAATATACATCAATTTCTATTAGATTACACAAGTTTCAGAAGGTATAATAACACATAGAAATACACATAAACATTAATTCCCTTGATGGTACCTGCTTTGCATATTCAGAAGAATCCACCAAGCATTTGATTGCATATCTTGGGGTATTATTTTGTGGGCTCATAGTTGGCCGAAATATGTACGAGGGGACCATGTACTGAGCAAAAGTCAGCACAAAACTTGATCAGAGCCAATTGGAAGTTTTGTTTAACAAGCCTTACAAGGTAACAATAATCCTCAAATGCAATCAAATTTTGAGGAGACCCTTATGCATCTTCCACTTCTAGACCAAACACCAAGCATGGGGTCTGCTATTGAGAAGGTCAGTTTCAGTAACTGGCATAGCTTCATCCTAGTCGGATTCCTACTCAGAGTCAGGTTCATATTCGGATGCTAAATCATGGTTATTTTCGTCATCTAATGGATTCCTTGTTTCATCATATGTGATCTTTGCTTGTAGATGTTTATACTTTTACCTTAATGCAAAAAAGTCGTTCAAGCAGGAAATGTAGGTTATGGTGACCTCAGATATATATATACTAACCAAGTATGATTGTTGTGCCATGTATAGTATACTGTAAATTAAGAAATTATTGTGATGTTTTTATTATTGCGAAAAATGCGACAGGGTTATAATCGCAATAATTAAAACTCACATTTTGAAATTTGTTATATGAATTAAACAGGATTTTCCTCAATAACACAAAAATTAAAAATTGCATTTTAGTCTAAAATGACAAAATCACAATAATTTCTGAATTTACAGTATAAGAAATGGATCTTGACTCTATAATTAACCAAGGTTGTGACAGACGTACGTGTTGAAAAAGTTTTACAATGTATCAATATATGCCCCTATAATATATATAAGGTTGATACAGGTACAGTCATCTTCCAAAGTTATTTTGTGTACTGAAAAAAAAAAATTGTTATAATGTGTTTTAGGAATTTGAGGAAGCAAAATCTTTGACTTACATATATGTACATGTAGTATAAAAATAAGGAGATGTGGTATGATTGCCAATGAGACAACTATCCACCAAAGTTAAAATAAAGTGGATGTACATATGTACAAATGTACATATAAGCAATTAAAGGCAACCATACCACCTACAACAATGAGATAAACCCATACCGTATAGTCGGCTGTAAAAGACATGAAAAATATGAAACAATTCAATTCAGAAAACTAATACGCCAAATTTATAACTAAAGAAATTCTGAAAAAAAATTCTGACATTAACCAATAACAACCACTGAACTACAGACTCCTGACTTGGGACAGGTACATAAAGATTGGAATGTGGCAGGATTAAACATGTTTGCAGGTGCCAAACCTCCCCGTAACCGTCATTCCCAAGGTCGCCGGACACTGGGCAAAGTCCAGTAAAAATCGGTTTAGTCCAGTTAAGTGATATGCATTACTGGACCAAATGACCAGTAAAATTTTTAATTTTGTCAAAACCATATGTGTTAACGTCCAGTTAAAAAGAGTCTGGTCCAGTTAATAAGAATGGTTTACTGGACTTAATCAAGTTGATTTCTCAAAGCCTTGGGAACCACTGCGGCCTAACCTGGGACAGTGGTGTAACAGCACAACATCTGAACAAGCTATAAAAATCAGTTGAAAAGGGCTTAACTCATCAGATCAATACAAAACAGAAAAACAAGTAACAAAAACACAAACCAGACATAGCAAGGCATTTATATACATCCCCACAACAAAAAAAAAACACTAAGTATAGATCTGAGAGTACTCGCAGTTACTGAAAGCTAGTTCAAATTTCAATAACAACTAATAAAAAATCATGTATCTAAGACTGAAATGTCAATCAGTACACATCCAACATCCAATGGATTTATTGTAGAGATGTCATTGGCAGTTCTCCAGTATTACACATACATGTACATGTATGTATATTATATTTATTGAATTGAATCAAAATTATCATTGCAAACATGAGCACAATGAATAAGTTGGGAAATTACTTTTCATCTGTCACAGATTTGGATTGTTTTTCAACAAATTTTACATTTTTATGCCCCCGCTGTAGTGGAGGGGGCATTAAGGTTTACTCTTGTCCGTCTGTTTGTTTGTCTGTCCATACATCTGTAGGTCCCGAAATTGGTTTCCGTTCTTTAACTTTAGTTTCCCTTTACCAAATGTTATGAAATTTATACACAAAGCTTATTACCACAAAACACAGATCAGGTTCCAATTTGGGTGTTGCCACTTTTTACCGTTCCTGAGTTATGCCCCTTTATAATGGAAAAATTGTCGAATTTTTCGTTTCCGTTCTCTAACTTTCCTCAAGCAAATGTTATGAAACTTATAGACCATGCTTATTACCATAAAACACAGATCAAGTTCGAATTTGGGTGGCATCACTTTTGCAGTTCTCTAGTTATGTCCCTTTATAATGTTTTATAAAGCAGGGGCATCATCTGTGTCCCATGGACACAGTTTCCATTAATTTTAATAGTATTTGTAGACACTGAATTTAAGTGCCCTTTTCACTGATGGAATAACCATTACATGCTTAATTATGATTGCAGAGACAACAAATAAATGCATTCTCACAAACCAGACATTCTTCTCTTTGTGTCGGATGAACTGAAAAAACATGTTATTGTTTTTTCCTATTCTCATTTAAGAGTGTTTGAAAGCTTACACTGACTACTATTTATTCAGTAATCAATGCAGTGTTTTCATTGATGTGAAAAATATGACCGGATAAACATCGCAATAAAATCTCAAATATTCTATGTACAAGATTACCATTTATTAATCTTGTTAAGTACAGTATCAAAGGTTTTCAGAAGGAAAAGTATACATTTAGTTCTGAATTTGATGATGTTAAGTTAATAAAGTCAGCATTAAACCATAACCATGTAAACTTGATAAATTTGAAAGACACATAAACTTTCTTTTGCAGTCCATTTATAAGACCAAAGAGAGGGAAATTATGTGAAGCAGCAGTAGTCGTAAGTTGAATTACATTAGTTTTTGCAGATAAATATATCATGTATATACATGTACAAATGTATGTAAACATTTTAAAAAGTAGTCTTTAGTTTGCAAATGTGGTGGATATATCCCTTAAAAAAAGTTATGATGTCTAAAAAAAAAATTGATCATGTTGATACAGTACTTACAATGTACAAGTCACACATACAATGTACATGTAAATGAACAAAAGTATTGTGTTTTTTGTGTACGCCAAAGGGAGCTTGCTTTACTAGTGACACCCGTCATTTCATTCATGCCAAGTAAAACTAGTGATAAAAGAGAGGTGAAAGATACCAAAGGGACATTCAAACTCAAGTCAAAAATAAATAGACTACGCTATGGCAAAAAAAGACCAAAAGACAAACAACAGTATTCAAAACAACATAAAAAACTTAAGGCTCAACACGAACCCCACCAAAAATTGGCTGGGATCTCAGGTGCTCCGGAAGGGTAAGCAGTTCCTGCTCCACATGTGACACCTGTCATGTTGTTTATGTAAGTAATAACCTGGTGATAAGTCTAATAATGTAGGTCACATTCGAGGAAATGGATAAGGTGCGTTTAATGAATTCATTAGCGAAGAAATGAAGACATGATTGTGGCTATGACAAATGGAATATGTCTGTGGTCAACTGTTACACAGATATTCCAAAACAGTCAAGCAAGTTATGATTGCATCTGTAGAACTTTCAAAAGAGATGACTGCAGCTTTAGTTATCATTATTGAGGGTGGTAAAGGGCTCTTTTTTTGCAATGAGTTTTCAATTTTATTTCAATTTTATTTCACATATTTTCTTGCTTGTAGCTCAAATTTCACCATGTTTTGTGC